TACTTTACTTCTAAGATCGATACTATTAGACATAAAATTGTAAACATGCAGACGTCAGCTATAGTATCGCATCAGATAGCTTGCTATAGATTGCCTGAGGAACAATTCCACTCATTCTCTACTATAGGAGAGGAAGAATTACCACCAACCATTTTTATCATTCATGTGGCCTGATTATAGAGAAGCTTAATCATAGAAATAAAATTGTCTCCAAAACCAAAAGCCTTTAATGTTTCAAAAAGAAAATTGTGGTCAACTCGGTCAAAAGCCTTTTCTTGGTCTAATGACAGAAAGCCAAGGTTAATATTATTGTTAAGAGCAAAGTCATAAATATCTCGCACTAAATGTAAATTATCTAAAATAGATCTTCCTTTTACACAGTATGATTGATCTTTATGAATGATTGTATGTAACACATTGTTTAGTCTATTTGACAAACATTTTGACAAAATGTAATATTCGGAACACGAAATTGGTACCGGCCTCTAGTTTTTTAAAAGGGTTAAATCTCCCTTTTTTGGTAACAGAGTTAAGGCAGCCCGTTGACAACTCACAGGGAGAACACCCTTACTGATGCATTCTATGAGCACTTCAAAATAATCAGGTCCTAATATAATCCAAAATTTCTTTAAAAAAATCAGAAGACAGTCCGTCTATCCCTGGTGCTCTTCCTGAAGAGAGAACCTTTACAGCAGCAGTAACCTCTTCAAACTTAAGATCAGCCTCCAAAAGTATTTTATGCGTTGAAGTTAAAGAAGGAATATCCTGTAGCAGTTCATTTCTGCTTTGCTCATCAATGGCTTCAGCAGTAAATAAATTAGAGTAAAAATCCACAGCGAGCCTGCGCATCACCACAGGATCCGAAGTATCTTGACCATCATTGTCCTTTAAAACGTACATCAGTTTTCCTTGTCCTGTTTTACGCTCCAGGTTAAAAAAATAAGATGTCGGACCATCCATGTCTTTTATTGTTAAAAAACGACTCCTTACAAGAGCCCCTTTAACTTTTTCATTTAAAATAAATCTCTAAAACAAGCAAAATGTAATTTGTTTTGTCATAGCAACGACTAATAGAAACTAATAGAAACGACTCATAGAAACGTCGGCACTATCAAAATTCCAAGATGGCGCCGACGCTGATGGCTGCCTCCGTGGCGTGCTCCGCAGTTGTTTTTATGTTTTTGTTAGTTTGTCCTGTCTTTAGTTATATCCCTGCAATCAGTTTCACCAGAGACGAATTGCTGGACATTCGGAAGTACACACCACCCGATATTTCACCGGTTTTCGATTATTCTGATGTTGTTCTATTTTTTATTTATTTTTATTTTTTATTATCTGTTTTTTTGTTCTGTCACTGTCATTCTGTTACACTGTGGAAGCTTCTGTCACGAAAACAAATTCCTCGTATGTGTAAACATACCTGGCAATAAAGCTCATTCTAAAACACATCAGTTTCATCTTTATTTACATCTCTAACTCTAGCACTTTCTATTCTATTTTAATTCTACTTTATCTATATTTATCTTCTTTTTTTTATTAAAAAAAAAAAAACACTAGCTTTCTATTTTTTCTAC